TTGTAACGACCCAAGCAGTGGGGCAGAACTGGAAATTCCAGTTTTAGCAGTACGCAGTTGAACCTACCCACAACCAGGCTAAACAAATATACATTGTCAGTGGAGTTGGCCTTTAAGTGTAAGCACTTCTTTTATTGCAGTAGTGTAGATTCTGACAGCCCTCAGTATAATACATGTTTCTGGGAGTGCCCTCTTGTCAGAGGTTCACCCAAAAATGTGTGAAGCAGATGAGCTTATCATACTCCCTGTTGTGATCTGCGCTCAAGCTATAATATATCCTTATGGGATTGTGTAGGCTTTTTGTGTCATTTTTTTTAAGATATACAGTATATCTGTGAAAAAGATCAGTTTGATATAAAAACCAATACTAATGTGTATGTTTCATAAAAGTTGTTTCTTATGTATAGTTTGTAGCTATATATGTGTTTGGGTGCAGCCATATTTGCTCATTATATACTTAGGCTTTGTTTTCTGCTTTGCAGCGATACATAATTATAGTTCATTGCTCTTTCTCACATTGAATGCTTATCTAAACCAAACGTTCTTAAATGTGGTGGCTGCAGTCTTTTCTTTTTCTGGTCTTTTTCCCCCCTTTCTTTTCACCTGGTAACCCTGCAGATAACATACTTCCTATCCTTGGGTGGCTTTGCCCACTCCTCCACTGTATCTATGGAGGAGCCCATTGTTGTCACCCACACTGCTCTCCTGATTGAACTACAAACATGGCTTTCTCTCTTCACCTCCATCACTAGGGTGCAGGGTGACGTGTAGTTTAAAGAAGATAGGTTCGAAAGAAGAAAGGATTGTTTGCACTTGCAGTTCAATTCACAGGCAGTAGCAAGCACACTGCATTTATGGCAAGAGCAACAGGTACTTTCTGCACTTGCTAAAAATTTTCTTAGCCTGAAAAATGAAAACTAATGCAGCTACCACATCTAAGGACTGCTAAGCTGCAGTATATTCCACTTTTGTTCTTGAGTTTACTTACTTTTTAAATGAGTGAGCAAAGTAACTGAAAACAATGTACTATTAATGTGGCTGATATATTACCTCAGCAACTGTTAGGTACCGTTCACACTAGCAGTGTGCACTACCACATGGTCAATGGTGTGTACTGTTAGGGAAGCGGTACAATGTGCTAATTTCAGAGCATCGCACTGTTTATCTTGTTTCTTTTATGGACTTTATTGAAACCTTATTTTAAAAGGGAAATAATATAGAATGTCACTTAATGAAGAAGATCACTACAATGTAAGAAAACTTGCTGAATGCCTCATTGGGCCAAGCGCATGTGGAACTTCATGCTCTGATCCGTCATGTGGTTGATAAGCAGCATGGTTGATCAGCTCACCCCTCTTTCCCCACTGCTGCCTGACCATGCTGCTTACAAGGGAATGAACACATAATTAGGTTTGGTTGACAGCTCTGGACTCAGCTAGCAGGCATGCACTGGAAACCAGCACGGTCATTCAGCACAACAAGGGAAGGAGTCCACTAATATCATAACGCAAGCACTCACAATAGCGGTGGATCTGTCAGCGCTGGTGGGGCAGTGTGATCTTTTAGCCAGCTGCGTGATCTAACTGCCAGGAGGTCAAGCAAAAGCCCCACCACGCAGACCCATTGCTATTGTGAGTGCAGTGACAAGGCACTGTGATTGAAGTATCTCTGTGATCCAGCTGGCTACTAAACATCCAGGCACTTCCAGGCAACTCCACAGAAATCAATAGCAGGGTAGCTGGGTTTAAATCACGTGCCCTGGAGATATAGTAATGGATTGGGAGGCAGCGCCCCTGAAGTAATACTTATTGCTATAGTCTGGGGAGTCGTTAGGAAGTGCCAGTCTCCAATTTCCCTCAGCAGCCCCGTCAGGGAGCTGTGTGCACAAATGTCACCATCACCTGCATCCAACAATTCTCCATTTTACTATTTTGGAAAGAGGATCTAAGAGAGAGGGAGGTGTCTATAAAACTAGCTGTAACCCTCCCCTAGGAACACCCATAAATTGGGCTTTAGCATGGGGTGGAGCTGACAGCCAGCTCAAATGAAAATAAACATGCATTTATTTTCCAACCACAACACAGATCTGAACGTGACTGTGTGTCACATGCATGTGCTCCCCAGGGAAAG